GGGGGAGGGGTTTCCCGGGGCTCGCTCTCGGTTGGCCCGGGCGGTGGGGGAGGGGTTTCCCGGGGCTCGCTCTCGGTTGGCCCGAGCAGACCTCGCTGCTGGGACTCGCCCTACTGCACAACAACTCGCCGCAGGTAAGAGCTGAGTTTACCCCTCCCCCCTGCAGCTGGGGTGGGAGTGTCCCGCCGTGGGGCTGGGCAGGGCACTATGGGGCAGGTACTGGGGGGCTGACGGATTGTGCGCTCTGTAGGGTAGCGATGCTGGGAAGCGGTGTAGGGAGTTCCCAGGGGGCAGTGCCGGGGGGCAGGTGCTTTGGGAGCGGGGTTGAGGGTCACCGTTCCCAGGATCCTGGTCTGTGAAACACCCATTCTACCCCCCGCCCCGCCTGGGTCCCTGTGGCCCCCCAGTGGGGGTGGGAGGGTTGAACCCTGGTAACGAGCCCCGAATGCTTTCTCCCAGTGCTCTCCTATAACAGGTGATGCCGTGGGGTGGGGTGGGTGGGGTGTTTCTCTGGGCCCCAACAACCCATCTGTCCTGCTCCATTGACATTTTCCTCCTGCAGCAGGCAGTGCCGAGAGTGGGGGTTTCTTGGGGCTCCAGCCCTTCCCCTCATTCTGCTCCTTCCCTTGCAGTTGCTCTCCATCCCTGTGGCAGGCAGCACTATGGGTAGGGAGTTTTTCTTAGCCTCAGCATCCTTCACTACCTGTCTCTCCCGTTGCAGTGACCTGCCCTGGGCAGGCGGTGCCATGGAGCCCGAGACCCGCAGCATCCAGATTGAGTTCCCACACTATGCTGCGGTGCTGCTGGAATCGCTCAACAAGCACCGCTTGGAGGGCAAGTTCTGCGACATCTCCATCCACGTGCAGGGCCGGGTCTTCCAGGCTCACAAGAGTGTGCTGGCCGCCTCCTCGCCCTACTTCCATGACAAGCTGCTCCTCAACGACACCAACTGCATTGTGCTGCCCAGTGTCATTGAGCCCGAGGCCTTTGAGAATTTGCTACAGCTCATCTACTCTGGCCGCCTCAAGCTGCTGATGGAGGCACTGCCCAGTCACCTGCTGGTGGCCAGCGGACTGCAGATGTGGCAGGTGGTGGACCAGTGCTCTGAGATCCTTAAAGAGCTGGAGGGGGGCCCCTGCCGACCCTGGTCCAGCCGGGCAAGCGAGAGCCAGTCCCCCAGTAGCAGCAACTATTTTGCTGTGAAGGATGATGGGGAGCCTGGGGGCAGCAGCTCAGAGGGGCCTGGGCATGGTGGTGTGTCATCAGGCCGGGCAGCACCAGGCTGCCTTGACAATGAGGTGATGAAGATTCGGGTGTCACAGGAGGAAGAGGAGGAGGAAGAGGAGGAGGAGGAGCATCAGGCCCAGATCTGTAGCGGCTCAATGGACAAGGCGGTGAAGATTGTACTGGAGGAAGATGAAGAGGGTGGTGGCAGAGGTGGCTCCAAGGGGCCGTCTTCAGGGGAGCTGGACAGTGCCTTCCATGGCCCCCGTGACCACCCCAAGATCTTCTACATCAAGCAGGAGCGCTTTGACCCTGACGAGGCAGCAGTGGCAGCACTGGGAGGTGGTGTGAGTGCTGCAGGTGAGGCCAGCTTTCTCAAGTCGCTGGCACAGGGGCGGGCATTGGGCATGGCTGAGGTTCAGGGCCTGTGCCAGGCAGAGTTCCAGCCAAGCAGTGAAGTCAGTTACATAATCCCTGCTGCAGGCAGTGGTGCCACCTCCTCCTCCTCCATCACTGCCCCTGGCTTCACCATTAAGGCCCAGCCCCTCTCCTCCGATGAGGCCGGCTTCCCCCAGAGCTCCTGGAAGCCAGTGGACCTACACGGCAATGAGATCATTGCCCATGCGGTGCATGGCCAGGTGGTGCATGCGCCTGTTAAAATTGTGACGGCGCCGGATGGAAAGAAGTTTGGCTGCCTTTGTGGCAAGCGCTTTGCCGTCAAGCCTAAGCGTGACCGGCACATCATGCTGACCTTCAGTTTGCGCCCCTTCGGCTGCTCCGTCTGCAACAAGAAGTTCAAGCTGAAACACCACCTGACGGAGCACATGAAGACCCACGATGGGAACCTGTATTCATGCGAGGACTGTGGGCGCAAGTTCCGTGTGCAGAACTGCTTCCTCAAGCACAAGGAGCTGTGCAAGGGCCAGGGCTGGGCCACTGCTTGCTGGACCTACAAATAAAACCTGGGGTGGGACTGAGTGGAGGACTCCTGCCAGCCTTCTCTAGGCCTGATCCAGCCCCTGAGCTCTGTTGCTCTGTATCCTTGCGGATCTGCCTTCCTGAGCTTGGTAACCTGCTCCAGGGCCCCGGGGACACCAAAACATGAAGGGACACAAATGGGAGTTGGGCAGACCAGGGGATTTGGCCCCAGCATGTTGGCTTCCCATGCTGCTCCATGGCTTAGGGTTTCTGACATATAGAACTTGCCATGGGTCAAAGGAGGGGAGATGGAGAAAGTGAGAGAGCCCCAGGCTAATGTGGGAGCTCAGGGCAGGAGGATGGAGCAAGAGGCTGATGGGAACCTCAAGGCTGGGAATTAACAGCCACATTACATACCTATTCCCAACCTGGCCCTGCCCTCCTCTGAAAGGATACCGCTCTGTTGTGGGTGGACTCACTGAGCTGAGTCTGGGCAGAGCTGTGTCACTGTTCCTGCCTCTGGGTTTATAAGGCACACTCCCAGGTGTGGATTCCATGGCTGCCACCTTTCCTTGGGATGTGGGAATCTGCAGCCCAACCATCCTAGCCACCAAAACCAGCACCTCAGCCTTCCCCAGCCCTCAGTTGCTTGTACACATTCCCTCAGAATCTGCCTTGCTGTGAGCATTCAGGGCAGATAACTAACCCCTTAGGGACAATAAGGTAGGTAAGCAAAAAACACAGGCTCAGCAAAGTGATTTCTTAACCACAACAGAGGGTCCTGTGGCACCTTTGAGACTAACAGAAGTACTGGGAGCATAAGCTTTCGTGGGTCAGAACCTCACTTCTTCAGATGCAAGTCTTCTTAACCACAGACACTTTACTCTTAAAGCAGTGGAGTGTTACAGATCTGTGAAAACCACAGTCCTGAGCTGCCCTCCAGTCTGATCTTACTCCTTCCGCGAGACTGAGTTCTGGTCAGTGTTCCAGACATGGCCGAGTCCCTACTGCCTTCTTCCCATCAAGCCTGGTCTTGTGGAGTGTGGCGGGGGCAGCCTGCCCTTCTCCGGGAGCACTCCCCTTAAACCTAGTCTCTGACCCTTTTGGACCATACGCCCAGTCTAGGATATTCCAACCCCATGCCCTGTGAGACCCAGTGAAGAAAACCATTGGCTCCTGAACTAGGCCAGTCTTTGAATCATCCAAAGTTGATGGGCCTTGATGGTCCCGTCATTGATAGTCCTTCCCCTGGCAAGGCTGTGTCTGGAATAGACTGGCTTTGTCCAAGTCAGGCAGGCTTTTCTACACAGTGCACAAAATGAGAGAGAGGCACATAAACAGAAATCAAAGCCAAATGCAGTTCACCATTTGATACAGACATAACTCTCTTCTCTTGCAGCCACTGGCTGGGTCAGTAACCTGGAGGCTACCAATCCCAGCACTGTGGCAGGCATGGGCAGGATGGGGAAAGCTCAGTGCGGGAGCCATGGCCATATAACTCTAGTGGTTTTGCCCAGATTTCCTGGTCCTGCAGGGAGGCTCCCACTGTCACGCCACCCTCATTCAAACCAGGCCCAGCGTGAGCTCCCCCTCCTGCCAGAGCAGCTCAGCCACTCCATTCCCAACCCCTTCATTGTGCCGTGAGGCACATCCCAGGCCTGGGGACTCAGTTTCCCCTGTGAGCCCAGCACAGGACTAGGGTGGGTTGAGGACAGGGGTAGAGGCTGGTGTGAATGTGCTGTACACTAGAGAGTATGGGTCTTTGCGCACCCTTCTAATGACTGGTGCACAAAGCAGGTGGCAGAGTGACATGTTCAGAGCAAGCGGTAGAGGTCAGTTTTGTGGAGCTGAAGTCCCTGAGTCACTTTCACCGTGACCCATGTGGGGTGGGGTTGTCAGCCCCTCTGCAATCCCCTTACCCTGCTTGATTTCTCCCCCTATCTTCTGGCTTCAGCAGCCTCACCCATTCTTGTCCCTGGCTTCCTGCTATGGGTGTGTTCCTTACTGGACTTGTTTTCTTTGTCCTCGTCTTCCCACCAGTTCCCTGCTGTGGTTCATGCCCTTTCCCACTGGCATCACTGGCCTGGGTGGGAATCTCTTTCTTTGAATAACACCTTGAGCCTTCTCACTCAGCCAAAGAGGGAAAGCCATTCCCTTGTTTTTCAAGTGTATGCACCTCCCTGGGTCCCCCTGCATGGGCTGTGCACACACAACTCTTCACCGCAGCCTCTGCTATTGGTGGTTAAGAACATAAGAACAGCCATGCTTGGTCAGACCAATGGTCCATCTAACCCCATATCCGGTCTTCTGACAGTGGCCGGTGCCAGATGCTTCAGAGGGAATGAATATGACAGGGCAATTTATCGAGGGGCCATCCTCTGTCATCCAGTCCCAGCTTCTGGCAGTCAGAGGTTTAGGGACACCCAGAGCTTGGGGTTGCATCCCTGATTATCTTGGCTAATAGCCATTGATGGACCTGTCCTCCAGGAACTTATCTAGTTCTTTTTTCAACCCAGTTATACTTTTGGCCTTCACAACATACCCTGGCAATGAGTTCCATAGGTTGTCTGTGTGTTGTGTGAAGAAATACTTCCTTTTGTTTGTTTTTTTAAACCTGTTGCCTATTTAATTTCATTGGGTGACCCCCTAGTTCTTGTGTTACGGGAATGAGTAAATAACATTTCCTTATTCACTTTCTCCATACCATTCATGATTTTATAGACCTATATCATATCCCATCTTAGTCGTCTCTTTTCTAAGCTGAACAATCCCAATCTTTTAACTCTCTCTTCATACGGAAGCTGATCCATACCCCTGATCTTTTTTTTTTTTTTGTTTTCTAGACTTTTGCAATTCTAATATCTTTTGAGAAAGGGACTAGAATTGCACACAGCATTCAAGGTATGGCTGTACTGTGGATTTATTTAGTGGCA